TGTTTGTTTTGGTTTGTTTTGTCTACTTGGATTTGTTTTATGGTTTGGTATTGTGATACATCTTGGTGAATGAATGCCCCATGTATACTTGGAAGAAAGTATATTCTGTGGTAGAGGGGCACAATATTTTAGAAATGTCAAGTAAGGTAGTTGATAAAGTTCAGATTTTATATTCTCTGTGATTTTTTTGTTTTTGGCATTAAATACCCAGAAGAGTGGAGTGTTTAAGTTTTCCAACTATGATTGTCAAATTATCTGTTTTTCTCTTTGATAATGTCAGATTTTGTTCCATATATTTTAAAACCTAATGACTAAATGCATACACATTTATGTCTTCCTGATGTTTGACCTTTTTAGGAGTATAAAATGTTTCTCTTTAAATATACCTATCTTCAAGTGTATTTTCTTCTTTGTTAATATGGAAAAGTCAACCCAACTTTTTTAAGATTAGTGTTTGCATAGTGTACCTTTTTTTATTTTTCAGTTTAATCTGTGTGTTTATTTTTAAATGATGTTTCTTATAGACAGTGAATAGTTAATTCTTGCTTTGATTCAGTCTCATAATTTCTGCCCTTTAATAGGAGTGCTTATATAGTTCATTGGCATTTATTACAAATATTTGGCACGGTTGGGTTTAGGTGTGTCATTCTTCTTATTTTCATTTTGCTTTTGTTGCTCTTGATGTGTTCCCTGCCCCCCACCTGCCTTCTTTTGGGTTAATCAACTCTTTTATAGCAACAGTTCTCAAAGTTTGATTCGGGGGACCCTGGAACATCATGTGACCCTGAAAATGTTAAAGTTTATCATGTGAATAATTATTTTCCCTTTGACTCTCGTTTTCTTCTAAGTGCACAGTGTAATTTTCCAGAGGCCACATGATGTGATCATCACAACAGATCGAATACAAAGTCAAATATGAGAATCCATTTTTTTTTGAAGTGCAAACATAGATATCAGTGCTATTTTTCTCACTTTTTTGAGTGAGACCTTTTGAGAAAGGTTAATTTTTAAAAAAATGTTTATGTTAACATGTGATAGGTTTATTTTTGTCACTTTTAATTTTTAATATGGTAAGTAGTGACAGAACCCACATAAAGAAAAGTTTTTGGAGTCTTCATTGATTTTTAAAGTGTTAAAAGGGTTCCTGAAACCAAAAGGATGGGCATCTGTTTTACATTTAATTTTGATATCCTCTGTTGACTTTTTAGATATTATCTCCTAGTGCTTTTTGAATTGTCACTCTAGGCTAGGGATTATAAATTGCATCTTAAAATTATGACAGTCTACTGAAGGTTATTATTGTACCACTTGATACAAATTATATAATCCTTACAATATTTTCCCATTTACTTTCTTCCTGTCTTTGTGCTGGTTTTTTTTTGTATATTTGTGTGTATATATATCTGTAATACAATATTATTTATAGTTTGAAGGAAAATCATATAGTCTTTTATTTTTTTAAGTGTACTTATTTACTTATTAGTAATCTCTAAACCCAATGTGGGGCTTAAACTTAACAACCCTGAGATCAAGAGTTGCATGCTCTGCCATTGAGTCAGCCAGGCACTCCTTGTAGTCTCTTAAATAAAGCCTTTTATGTACATGTATTTACATTTCTGGTGATCTTTGTAAATCCGAATAACCATCTAGTTTACTTTTTCTTTAGCCAAAAGAACTTTCTTTGGCAGTTCTTGCAGTATAGATTTGGTAGTGATAGAGTTTCAGTTTTTATCATAAATTGTCTTTATTTTTTTTTTATGATTTTATTCATTTGTTTGAGAGAGAGAGAGAGAGCATGAGAAGGGGGAGGGTCAGAGGGGGGAGTAAACTCCCCGATGAGCAGGGAGCCCGATGCAGGACTCGATCCCAGGACTCCAGGATCACGACATGAGCCAAAGGCAGTTGTTTAACCAACTGAGCCACCCAGGTGCCCTTTATTTTCATTTTCAAGGGATAATTTCACTGGATTTGGAATTCTAGGTAGACCTTTCTCTGTTTTTAGTTGACATCATTATTTGGCATTCAAATTGTTGTTTTTCTAAAATATAGTTTTAGAGAGTTTACAGTCTTTATCTGCAGAAGGGTTGGTCCAACAGAGCTGTTTTGCCATTACCAGAAGCTAGAACTCTTCACATTCATTTTTAGAATCCCCTTTATTTTCACTCCAGTTTTTTCATTGTTTCATGTTAGGTTTTTACACATATGCCATGTCTTTTGTCACTGCTGTATTTTGGATTGAATTGTTCTTGGATTTCTCCAACCTTTTTATTTTTCTTTCTTCTCTTAATTTCCCAAATTACACTGCCTATGGCTTCTCCATTTAAGCAGTTAGTTTATTGAACATCTGTATTTGATAAATGTTGATCTGACATTTATCCAATTAAACTATTTTTTAAAGTTTTTTTTTAAGTTTAATAAAGGATTTTTTTATTTTTTATTTTTTATAAACATATATTTTTATCCCCAGGGGTACAGGTCTGTGAATCGCCAGGTTTACACACTTCACAGCACTCACCATAGCACATACCCTCCCCAATGTCCATAACCCCACCCCCTTCTCCCAATCCCCCTCTCCCCAGCAACCCTCAGTTTGTTTTGTGAGATTAAGAGTCACTTATGGTTTGTCTCCCTCCCAATCCCATCTTGTTTCATTTATTCTTCTCCTACCCCCTTAATCCCTCATGTTGCATCTCCACTTCCTCATATCAGGGAGATCATATGATAGTTGTCTTTCTCCGATTGACTTATTTTGCTAAGCATAATACCCTCTAGTTCCATCCACGTCATCGCAAATGGCAGGATTTCATTTCTTTCAATTAAACTAGTTTTATCATGTCACTTATGCTTGACAAAATGCATTGGCTCCCAGTTTTACCACATCACATTTAAATTTGCCATCCTATCTTTAAAGGTTCTCCATAATGTCCCAGGGGCCTACCTTTCCTATTGTCTTTTATATGCCTTTTGTGTCAAACAGTTCTTTTCATCCTCATTTTTTAAACTTACTTGATTTAAATTCAGCTAACATATAGTGTATCATTAGTTTGAGATGTAGAGTTCAGTAATTCATCAGTTGCATATAACACCCAGTGCTCATTAACATTCCCCCACCCACTTCCCCTCCAGCAACCCTATTTGTTTCTTATAGTTAAGAGTCTCTTATGGTTTGTCTCCCTCTCTGATTTTGTCTAATTTTTGTCTCCCTTCCCCTATGATCCTCTGTTTTGTTTCTTAAGTTCCACACATGAGTAAAACCATAATTGTCTCTGATTGACTTATTTCACTTACCCATGATACCCTGTTTCCATTCACATCAGTGTAAATGGTGCCATTTCATGCTTTTTGATGGCTGAGTAATATTCCTGTGTCTGTCTGTGTGTGTGCGCACGCGCACACCCCCCCCCAATCTTTATCCATTCATCTGTTGGTGGACATTTGGGCTCTTTACATAGTTTGGCTGTTGTGGACATTGCTGCTATAAATATTGGGGTGCAGGTGTCCCTTTGGATCACAATGTTTGTATCCTTTGGGTAAATACCTAGTAGTTCAATTGTGGGATTGTAGTGTAGCTCTATTTTTAACTTCTTGAAGAACCTCCATACTGTTTTCCATAGTGGCTGCACCCGCTTGCATTCCCACCAACAGTGTAAGAGGGTTCCCCTTTCTCCACATCCTTGCCAACATTTGTTGTTTCCTGACTTGTTAATTTTAGCCATTCTGACTGGTGTGATGTGGCATCTGATTGTGGTTTTGATTTGTATTTCCCTGATGCCAGGTGATGTTGAGCATTTTTTCATGAGTCTGTTGGCCATTTGTAGGTCTTCTTTGCAGAAATGTCTGTTCATGTCTTCTGCCCAGTTCTTGACAGGATTATTTGGCTTTTTGGGTGTTGAGTATGATAAGTTCTTTTACCTTCTCCCATTCCTTGGGTTGTCTTTTGGTTTTGTTGACTGCTTCCTTTGTTGTGCAAAACCTTTTTATCTTCATGAAGACCCAGTAATTCATTTTTGCTGTTGCTTCCCATTCCTCATTTTTTTAATATGCATTCCATTCATTCTGGTCTCTGATCTTTCCATTTAAAATGCTCTTTTTTAACAATATCCTATAAACTAAGTACCTAAAAATATGTCCTTAGGTGCAGTCTTCTGTCCTGTAAATACTAATATAGAATTTAAGAGTTTTTAAAAAGAAATTGTGCAGAGTGGTGCAAGTCTTCATTTCATTTCTAAAATAGCTTTGTGAATTTCTTAACCTTATCAACCAATGGTAAATATTTGGAGATAGGGTTATTACTTTTCTTATTCAGTATAGTCTTAAATACAAGGGCTCTTCAATGAAAATTCATGTACAAGCATCTGTGTGCTAAATTCTTTGGGAAGGGCACTAAGGAAGAACTTTTCTCCATTGACAATCAGTGGACCTTCATGCAAACCTATAATAATAATAATATAAAACACTAATATGAACAGAATTTCCAAGATTCTTTGGGAACACAGAGTAGTACTAACTTGTTTGCTTTTTGTAACCAGTGGTTTGATGCTTTTTAAAATTTAAACAGGAAAATAGAAGGAATGTGAATTCTTTTGGTTCACAAGGTGGAGTTGGTGATAGATGATAGGAGGAAGGCAGGATCAGAGTTGGCAAAATGATCTGTTGGATGGAATTGCTGTTTCAGGTAAACCATAGGATCCTTGTTAGGAACAGACTCCTAATTAGCTTTTTTAGTACTAAAAAATGTTTTGTATATATGAAGGATTGGGAGAGGTAAAAGCATCTTAAGTTTCATGAAACCATGGTGGATATCAGTGGGAAAACTGGAAACCAACTGCAAGGAGCTTATCAGTCCAAATTTGTTTTACACCCTTATTCATATACAATGGATGATACAGGCATAGTGTATTTACTTTGTGTTGATAGTTGCTAGGCAGAAAAAATTAATGCTTTTGTCTATTTTTGTTTTTGTATTTAATGTAAATTAATTTTTCTATTTTATATTACAGTCTTGGTCCCTTAGTGAGTAAAGTGAAAGAATACCAAGTAGAGACGATTGTAGATACCCTCTGCACTAACATGCTTTCTGATAAGGAACAACTTCGAGATATTTCAAGTATTGGCCTTAAAACAGTAATTGGAGAACTTCCTCCAGCTTCCAGTGGTAAGCAAGAGCACTTTTTTCTTCCTAGTTCCTTTTTACCTGGAGCTGTTCTTACTTTCATTTGTTTTTTCCTCCTGGCCAGGAAAGGGGAGTAGTGTCTATCAGAGGATTTTTGTAAGGATCTCTTTGAACAAGTAAGAGGAAAAATGTCCAGAGTCTTATTTTTGCTTAAAATCAATTTTCACTTTTAAATGAATATTATTTTGACTGAATTTAAGTATCTTGTAGGAATAGCAAGATTTTTTACTGTTGTATTTACCATGACTACAGAATAGTTAATGCTAACCTGTGCATTAAGGGAAAAGGTAACCAAAACTTTGAGTTATTTCTGATTAGCTCTCTATTTTCAATATTAATTTTGCTTTGCATCAGAATTTATGATGTGTGAAACATAATACTGTTTTAAGACAGTTGTGAAATAGTCCAGTTTACTAGTATCTTTATTAAGGCTGACTCTGTAGCTACTTTGGTAATTTAAAAAATTTAAAATGACAATTAATGAATTTGTTAATTAATTAGGCTTTGGCCTCTGACACAAATATTTAGGTAATGCAAATTTTAGAATTGATCTTGACTACCAAGCTGTTGGCTGAAATCAGCAGGCTGAAGTTGTTGATGGTCTTATCTACAGGTGAAGTAAAATTATTATCTACTTCATAGATGTAGACTGGTAATAGTGTAGTCTAAGTATGTAGTTTTTACTCATTTACTTAACAAATATTTATTAATCTTTTGCTATGCTAGCCATCATGCTAGATTGGTGTGTATTATTTCAGTAAGTCTAAACATCAGCCATATGGGTCCTAATTTTCATAGTTTATCGATGAGGGAACTGAAAAGCAGAGAGATTAGGTTAATGCACCCAAAGTTGTGATTACCTATTTGGGTGAAGATTCAAATCCTCCATTATCTTTTAATCGAAAGATGATGCTTTTTCAGCTGTTTCTTATCAGTGTGACTTTACTCTTATTATTTCTGTAAAATATTTCTTATAATTGTATTAGTTATCTTGATGTTTTCCTCATTTCTTTTCATTGAAACATGTTTGTTTTTAGCTGATTTCTGGTTCTAACGAATTCTATTAACCGTTTAGATTAATTTCTTGTTCTTTTTTTCTCCCACCTGCCAGTAATAAGACAAATCTACTTCAAAATAGAATAACCTTGATTTATGAGTTCTCTGGAACAGCATTTCTAGTTCATCATAATGAAGTTTTGGAGTCTTTGGATTGGAATAGGAAGGATCTTACAGGTTTACAGCTCTCTCTCTTTTTTAAGAGATCATGTTGTCAGAGCTCAGAATATATTTGGTTTTTAATTAACCGAAATTTTAAAAAGTCGAGGTTGCTAGTAAAGAGTATTCACGTAGAAGAAAATTCATTTCTGTTTTCCAGTCTAGAGGTGCAAACACTACAGCTCCTATTGGCTCCATCATCGGCAGTCATGTCAGTATATAGAATACTTGTCCAGTAGAGTCTATTGAATTGGTACTGTTTTGCCTGTGTCATGTACTCCATCTGCAGTTATTAGGTCTTATTTCTGCTTATGTCTAATAAATTACTTGGCTAAAAACAACCCATTTTGAAATACTTTTCTGACATGGATCTCTTAAGTCAGTCTCAATTATAATCATTTAAAGTTGTTGACTATCTAGTAAGCACCATGAATATAAGGTAGAGTCGTTATACTTGCCTTGAAATTATTCTTGGTTTATTATTCATGCAGGCTCTGCATTAGCTGCTAATGTATGTAAAAAGATTACTGGACGTCTTACCAGTGCAATAGCAAAGCAGGAAGATGTTTCTGTTCAGCTAGAAGCCTTGGATATTATGGCTGATATGTTGAGCAGGTAAACTTGCCTATCATTTGTATTATTTGTAATACAAAAACTATGTGCATTTATTAAAAACACCTTTTGATAAATATAATTTGGTCTGAAATTGTCCATGTTTAAATTGTGGCTGTTTATAAATATGTGGGAGGGGAGAAATAAGCTAATTATATTTATCACATAATATTGCATAGCAGGCATTTTTTGTAGTTTTGAAAAGTAATAAAGTTTGTGATTTGAATATGTCAGCATAGTTTTTATGTTTTGTTTTACTCTTAGATCTTGATAACCGGGATTTCTTTATTAAATAAGAGATGTGCTGGTAGGAGTAGCAAATTTTCCAGTTAAAATAATGGCATAAATTTCAGCAACCATGATGATACTGTATGTTTGGGGAGGATGGAGCTTGGCTTTATAATTTGTTCCTTGTTTGCTTTCCTCTGGAAGTCCTCTGTTTGCTTTTCCTTCCTATCTGAAAGATAGGAGGATATAATCAATTCCAAGGGGGAAAATACCTTAAAAGACCTATCAGTTATAGTGTATCCCTAATTCTCAAAATCATTACGTCTTCGTTGTTGTGCCTTCACTTGTGCCCGAGTCACTGCAGCTTGGAAATAGTTAAGCGCCTTCCTGTGGTACATATTTACAGTAGAAGGTGAGCACTACCATCCTGGTACACACAAGAACTTATATTTTGCTATAGGAGAGAAGAACAAAAGTGGAATTAAATACTGAGACTCTTGGTGTGTTTCGGGATTTAAAATAGGAGAAGTTTGTTTTGGAAAAAATGACATTTGAATTTAGTTTTGAAGAATGGGTAGGGCTCAGGTATATACATGCCCAGGTTTAGAATATATCAGCATAAGTCATTTTGGAGTTGGGAAACATTGTATTCTCGTTTTCCAGAATAATAGAATGAATAGAAAAGTAGTAGGAAATCATTTTCATAGGTTGTGGTCATGTTGAAGAAGGTGAGGAATTTATACTGAAGAAGGTGAGGAATTTATACTTAATTTTGTAGGTAGTAAATACTCAGACTTTTTGTTTTATGTGTTACTGGATCAGTTGCAAGGTCCTGGCACACAGATGTTTAACTACTATTGACTGCCTAAACTGCACATGCGAGATGATTTGGAAGAGGGTTGAGCCAGTAGGATCAATGCAACTTAGTACATAGATAGGTTGAGGAAAGACCATAGGAAGAGGGGGTAGTCAAGAGGTTCTGAGATTTGAGATTTTGATTATGAACCCCCAGAAAGCTATCATAGAGAAAAAGCTATTAATAGGGAAAATACTTTACAGATCTTGGAAAAGTGATAAGATTGTTGGTTTTTTGGTGAATTCTCAAGCTTATTGGTTGGATATCTTATAGAAGAGGATATGGTTCTAGATTCTGGAAGTGAATTTTGGGATACAGATTTCAAAACTGCATTTACTTATTAACTCAGCTTTTCAGTTGGGTTGGTAGAGAAAGTATTGTTTTAATCTAATTCTGAATTTGGATTAGCGTCATCTAAATTTTTACTCTTTGAATACATTGAGGTCAGAGGCTGGACATTTCAGTAGTGCTCAGACCTCTTGAATTTATTTATGGTTTTCTTTCTTTTTTATTTTATTTTAAGGCAAGGAGGACTTCTTGTTAATTTCCATCCTTCAATTCTGACCTGTCTGCTCCCCCAGTTGACCAGCCCTAGACTTGCAGTGAGGAAAAGAACCATTATTGCTCTTGGCCATCTGGTTATGAGCTGTGGAAATATAGTTTTTGTAGATCTTATTGAACATCTGTTGTCAGAATTGTCCAAAAATGATTCAATGTCAACAACAAGAACCTATATACAATGTATTGCTGCAATTAGTAGGCAAGCTGGTCATAGAATAGGTAAGAAATGTTTAAATACTTCAAAATTTTCTTCAATTAAAAAACAAAGAATGTTTTTAAGAATAAATATGCTTTTCTTAGGTGAATACCTTGAGAAGATAATTCCTTTGGTGGTAAAATTTTGTAATGTAGATGATGATGAATTAAGGGAGTACTGCATTCAAGCCTTTGAGTCATTTGTGAGAAGGTAAGTTTTGAGGATCTCTCTATATTCAAGTAAAATTTTCCCTTGAGAATAGAGTAATAATTAAGATCTAGAGTAGGTGGGTGAGGAGAAATGGGTTATTTTACTGACAGCCAGGATGAGTTTTGGTTTCAGATGTTTGATTAGAATAAATTCTTATTAAACAGTAACTGATAACCAGGGCAGTATTTGAAGTAGATGTGATCTTATATTTCAAAATATGGTCCTTATATTTGATATGTTTCCTTTTTATTGTTAGGACTTGAAAGAATTTGGAAAAGTATTTATGGTTGTCTTTTGGTTTAATTTAATAATGTAGTCTTAAAGAGCAGCAGGGTAAAAATTACTGGTCCAAAAATATGTAGTGAATTTTATATCTTCCCAACATTTTTTGAAGTTTGTCACATCCATTTTGCTAGGGTAGTGAGTCTCCATTTGGAGACCTTGGTTCTAATAATAAAATCGTCAGTTATATGCTAGAAAACCATACTGGCTGAGGAGCAGATTTTTTTTGCCTTTGGCTAGAATTGACAGTTTGGTATATAGCATAGTGTCTTGAGACTTCACTGGTAGTTACCTGCAGTAATTCCTTGCCCCACTCATGGTTTTTTAAGAAGTAGCTTTTGGGAGCACCTGGGTGGCTCAGTGGGTTAAGCCTCTGCCTTCAGCTCAGGTCATGATCCCAGGGTCCTGGGATCAAGCCCCGCGTTGGGAGCCTGCTTCTTCCCCCATCTCTGCCAGCCTTTCCACCTACTTGTGATCTTTCTCTCTGTGTCAAATAAATAAATAAAATCTAAAAAAAAAAAAAAAAAAAAAAAAAAGCTTATGGTTATACCAAATTTTTAAAATCAGAAATTGTGGGATTTGTTTCTGTTGTTTTAATTGAGAAACATAAATTATTCCTTTATTGTGGGGCATGTCTATGTTCTGTCTCTCAGCATATAGCGGGGAGACCAAGCCTAGAAGTATGTGCACTGGCATTTTCACAAATAGTCCTAGTTGCTGAAGAGCATATTCACTTGGGCTTAGTCTTCTAGTCTTATGTTGAGAAGATAGAGCATATACAGATGTTTCTCTGTACTCCCCACATTAACATTAACCATTATATATATCGGTTATATATATCAGTTACTTATAAGAATCATCCTGACTTCAGAGATGTTAGAATGGGAAAAGTTCATTGTAAAATTAAGTGTAATTTGAAAAGTAAATATTTTAAAATACGTGAAGTCATTGGTATTGAAAGACTGGGAACCACTTTCCTATGCTGTGTTATAAGGAAGAAAAAAATCTGGTAATAGAATGTGTCATAGTGAATCAAGGAGAAGAGTGCAGTTACTCAAGGCAGCTTTTATTTTTTTCTTCAGATGTCCTAAGGAAGTATATCCTCATGTTTCTACCATTATAAATATTTGTCTTAAATATCTTACCTATGATCCAAATTATAATTATGATGATGAAGATGAAGATGAAAATGCCATGGATGCAGATGGTGGTGATGATGACGACCAAGGTAGTTCAAATTAAAAAGAGGGAATTGGTTAAATTTTCATGAAAGACCCAGTGTTATAGATGGAGGTGATCCTTATCTAGTGAAAGGGAAAATTACCTCAGTATTCAACAAGAGCAGATTGATTAAATAAATTATGAGGCATCCATGTACTTAACTGCTGTGCAACATTTTCAGAATCTAGAAGAATATTAAAGCAGTTACTAATACGTTGAGTGAAAAGGTGGGTAATGGAAGTTATGTCCCAGTTTTATTTTTTTAAATACACAGAAAAAAACCTTACCAGTACATTTATAATTGCTAGCCAAGAGAATTTTGTTCTTTATTTGTATTTTCTACAAGGGGTATTTGTGAGGAGGAAAATGAACGTTATTTTAAAACTGTATTGTAGATACACATATTCAGCAGTTATGGTTGGTTTTATATGTACTTTTCTTGGAAACTCCTAAATGTTGTTTGAGGCTCCATTTAACTTTCATGAATCATCTAAACATTTCTGAGGCGCCGAAGATTAATGTCATCATGCTATGATTTGTAGTATTTACTCTGGAAAGGAATAGCACTTTCAAGGACAGACAGGTTGCTCATGTTTAGTTGTTTCTGCTAGGATTAAAAGAATCATAGTGGAGATGATTAAATGGGTAAGTGATGAGGTATGTGAGTTGGTGGATTTCCTGATATTTTTCATACTTTTAAATTTGATTCTTTGAATAAATTTATATTCCTTCAAAGTCAATAATTTATCTTTTAAAAAGAAAATAGAAACAACTATAAAAAAATCCCTCCTAACCTGGTATTACACTCTGGTGGCTACTGCCCAGTTTCTCTTAAAACGGAACTCAAAAGAATGCTCTTCAGTTCCTTTTTGTCCTTCTCTCATGAATCCAGTCTTTAAGTGATGGACAGGATCACCAGTGACCTCAGATGTTTGCCTATTTCTCATATCAGCGCCATTTCATTTAATTTCCAGGATACCACACTCTCCTGATACTAGTCCTATTTTTGTAATGATGTTAGTCCTGTTTTTGTGATTACTCTTTCTCAGTCCCTGTGCTGGTTGCTCTTCATAACCCTGATCACCAAACTTTGGAGTGTTCCAGGACTTGGACTTCTCTGTGATACTCTAATATTCTTGTTAATCTCAACTAGTCTCCTGCGTTTAATACCAGTATACTGAAAACTGAAATTTTTCTTTATTCCAGATCTTTCCTGTGAATTTCAAGTTTGTATATACATCTGCTTAATTGATTTACTGGTTAGGTGTCTAAAATAATCTCTCTACATCCCCCTCCTCCCCCCAATCTGCCTAACTCGTTTATTTAGCCTTTTCTATCTCAGAATGGTACCCTTGTTTTAGTTTCTCATGCCAAAAGCTTTGGGGTTACACGTGATTACTTTCACACCCTCTTCATTAAGTCTCACATCTCAGGGCTTTCCCCTTCCTTATAGTCTTCCTTCTCAACGTTTTTATTTTCTTTCTTAAAACTAAATGCTTTTGACATATTGTAATTATTTTCTACCCAGTAGGATGTAAATTTCATGAAGACAGAGACTTTCAGCCCCTTTATTGACTACTTTATTCTAGTGCTTAGGATAGTGCTTGACACACAGAAGACACTCAGTAAATGTGCTATATTACTGGAGGGATTGTAATAGAGAATATCCTTTGAAACACCATTAGGCAGTATATGTTTCCTGTTTTTGATTGATGGTTTTTCCTGTGCCAAGTACTTTGTTGAATAACTAACCAAGTCCTTCAGCTGTTTTATCTGTTTGCAATGGATTATACCTAATAACTACCTTTCTGCCATACTGTTATTGTAACATAAAAGCAACATAATTTCAGTAATTAGGTATTTAATGTTTTAATAACCCTTTTTTCAACAAAGTATATTTCTGCAAAATAATTCCCATAGTTGGGTTGCCATGGGAAAAACTTCATTTATTAATTTGCTTTTAAATAGTCCATTTTGGGGCGCCTGGGTGGCTCAGTGGGTTAAAGCCTCTGCCTTCGGCTCAGGTCATGATCCCAGTGTCCTGGGATCGAGCCCCACATCGGGCGCTCTGCTCCGTGGGGAGCCTGCTTTGCTTCCTCCTCTCTCTGCCTGCCTCTCTCTGCCTACTTGTGATCTCTCTCTGTCAAATGAATAAATAAAATCTTAAAAAAATAAATAAATAAATAAAATAAATAAATAGTCCATTTTGATACAGTACCTTCTAATTTTTATTCACATATGTATTGGTGAATAAGTCAAATGCCTTGGGTTTAGTTGGTATTTTGTTATGTAATCCTAGGGTTTTCTAAGGCATAGCTGGCTACATTTAGCTGTCACTAAGCTCATTGGAATATAAGCCAATGCAAAGGCAACATCTTTTTCCCCCAGTGAGGAATCAGCATTTCAGGGCTATTATTTGATAATTTTAGACTGTCCTGCGAACTGCTGGTGTTTTTATCATCCTTCTGACTTTGTTACTTACCCAATTGATTCAGCCTTATAGTGTTAGAAGGAAATAATTTTCAGAGATTTCACACGACATGAAAGTTAATGAAGTATACATAAGTGAAATGGAGTTGATAGCATTGAAACATTGTTTTAAGGTTTAACAGGAATTTGGAGAAGATGGTGTTCAGTTTTTACATGGTGCTTTGTTCTTAGCAGAATTTTCTTGTTGCAGAAGTATAGTTTCTTTAAACTACCTTAAAAGAATATGTTGAAACGTTGGAAATACACATATTTTTTCCTAATAGCCCATCATCAAATTTAGTGAAAAGCCTTAGAGCCACAAAGAAAGTGGATGTCAAGATTCCTTTTCTCCCCAGCATGTCCTGGGATTGGTAACCATGCTTTTTTTTTAAACACCTCATCTATAGTCGTCAATCTTATATCCTGGTTTATTTATTAATTCTTTGATTGTTTGATTTTCCTATAGTGTCAGGTGAGTCCTTTGAGCTTCTTTTCATACTGTTTTAAAGGCTGATTTTACAAATATTTATGTTGTAAAGAAGTTTCATATGTTAATCACCATAAAGATTGATAAGCTGCTCATTACACACAATAAATAAGAAGATGATTAACAAGTTTAAAACAGGATTCTTTAAGGTTAATTTATGTGTAAATTTGTATAATCTTGTTAAGTACTTGTTCTTTTAAAGCTTCTCTATTTAAAAAATAAAACTTCTCTGTTGCTGTATGTCAGTGAAAAGTTATAAAACTGAGTAACAGCTCACTTTCTGTATTAAATGATAAACTTTTCTTATAATTAATAGCCTGTTAACATTAAAACTTCTTTTAGGGAGCGATGATGAATATAGTGACGACGATGACATGAGTTGGAAAGTGAGACGTGCAGCTGCCAAGTGTTTGGATGCTGTAGTTAGCACAAGGCATGAAATGCTTCCAGAATTCTACAAGACTGTCTCTCCTGCACTGATATCCAGATTTAAGGAGCGTGAAGAGAATGTAAAGGCAGATGTTTTCCATGCATACCTTTCTCTTTTGAAGCAAACTCGTCCTGTTCAGAGTTGGCTCTGTGACCCTGATGCAATGGAGCAGGGAGAAACACCTTTAACAATGCTTCAGAGTCAGGTCAGTTTAAGTATGGTTGAAAATCATGCTTGTAAATACAAAATTAAATTTTTTTTATATATGGAAATCTGAGTCCCAGAACATCTTCAGAAGAGTGAGCAGACTTCTGGGATATGTTTATGTAGTAGTTTATATACATTAATATTATGGTACTTAATAGTTTATTCTGATTTGAGGTGTTCTTGATTTTACTAGATAATTTTACTGAATCTTAAAATTATTTTAATATTATCTTTGATGTTAACAGAGAAATCTTAGAGTTAAGGAGTCACACTACTTGTGTTCCTACCTCACTTTGCTCCTGATTTAGCTGTGTGATCCTGGACAAGTTAGTCCAGTTTATTAAACCTCATTTTTCTCATTTGTAATGAGTTTATTTACTTAGAATGCACTACCCACGGTAGTGAGAAATGACGTGGCCTATGTAAATGGTCTAGTGCCTAGTACATTGTAAGGACTTAATTTACTAATAACAACTGGTATAGATATTTTTTACTTCAGGACCTCTTTTCTAAGATTCTAAAGATTAGAGCTATATAGTTTCTACTGAGTATTTAGTGCATGCTAGGCATTTTCCTATCTTATATCTAATCCCTACAGCAGCCCTATGGCATACATATTTGTTCATTTTTATAACATACAAAAACAGTTGTGAGACTGAGTATAAATTAACAAAAAATCATGGTGAACCTAAAAGTGAACACTGAAGGTTAATTGCAGAAGGAAATGAGAAAAAGTGTATAGAAGTCAGATAAAAATGTGGGAAATTATGATGATTTAATGAATTAGGTGGTTTTCTTTTATCTCTAGCTCTCAGATCACTGTTCGATTTGGCATGTGTCTGTATATATCCTCTTATCTGTAGGATTAGTAAATAATCTGTTTAGGTTTTACCAACTAAGAAAACATTACAAAGTTTAGAAGCAGATGTTTTTGAATCATAACCTTGCTGCTTGGAGCTACATTCTGAAGTGAGGTCTGTTTCATTGTCAGAGCAAAGACAAAGACCCATTTAATGTTTTTTTTCCATGATTTGTCCTTTTTCTTTTAATGCAGATATCTGTGCTATTTTTGTTCAAAAAGCCATTTATAATTTGTTCCTTAAAGTTTGGTTGAAAATTTATTATTTGTTTGATTTCTAGTTAGCCTTGTGCATTTCATAATCAAGGAAGACTTTTCTTGCTCTGTAGAAAGCTAGTGATAGCTTTTCTTTATTACGAGTATAAAACAAATAGTTCCAAGAGACCATATGTAATAGGTACAACAAAATTTGTATGAAACAGTCTTGTTAAATTCTTCCCTCTCTCCCCATCTCTGATAATTTGTGTTAAGTGTACTGAGGAAATGCCACTAGCTGAAACCAGCTAATGAGTGTGTAATAATTACAGGTTCCCAACATTGTTAAAGCTCTGCACAAACAGATGAAAGAAAAAAGTGTGAAGACCCGACAGTGTTGTTTTAACATGTTAACTGAACTGGTAAATGTATTACCTGGGGCCCTAACACAGCACATTCCTGTACTCGTACCAGGTATGAAAAGAATAAAAGAATAGTAAATCACTTTGGGGACTAATTAGAGATTTCCTTAAGTCTTTGATAAGTTTAAACAGTTGTTTCCTTCAAAAGGTAATTTGGGACAACTTAATTTGCACATAGACCCATTTCAAAGGCATAAAGTTAGAAATTTTCAAGTTAAAAATCTTACCTTACCTCTAATGTTTATCGTAGATTGTGGAATTTCTACTACTTTAGAGATACAGTATGATGAAGTAGAAACTTTACTAATATTTTAGGGATTAGTTTTTAATTTTTCTTAAGACTACATAAAAATTATTTTTTTGTTGGCTTTTTAGGAATCATTTTCTCACTGAATGATAAATCAAGCTCATCAAATTTGAAGATTGATGCTTTGTCGTGTCTCTATGTAATCCTCTGTAACCACTCTCCTCAAGTCTTCCATCCTCATGTTCAGGCTTTGGTCCCTCCAGTTGTGGCTTGTGTCGGAGACCCATTTTACAAGATTACATCTGAAGCACTTCTTGTTACCCAACAACTTGTGAAAGTAATTCGTCCTTTAGATCAGCCTTCCTCGTTTGATGCAACTCCTTATATCAAAGATCTATTTACCTGTACTATTAAGAGGTTAAAAGCAGCTGATATTGATCAGGAGGTCAAAGAAAGGGCTATTTCCTGTATGGGACAAATTATTTGCAACCTTGGAGACAATTTGGGTTCTGATTTACCTAATACACTTCAGATATTCTTGGAGAGACTAAAGAATGAAATTACCCGGTTAACTACAGTGAAGGCGTTGACACTGATTGCTGGGTCACCTTTGAAGATAGATTTGAGGCCTGTCCTGGGAGAAGGGGTTCCTATCCTTGCATCGTTTCTCAGGAAAAACCAGAGAGCTTTGAAACTGGGTACCCTTTCTGCCCTAGATATTCTAATTAAAAACTACAGTGACAGCTTGACAGCTGCCATGATTGATGCAGTTCTAGATGAGCTCCCACCTCTTATCAGTGAAAGTGATATGCATGTTTCACAGATGGCTATCAGTTTCCTTACCACACTGGCAAAAGTGTATCCCTCCTCCCTTTCAAAGATAAGTGGATCCATTCTCAATGAACTTATTGGACTTGTGAGATCACCTTTATTACAGGGGGGAGCTCTTAGCGCCATGCTAGACTTTTTCCAAGCTCTGGTTGTCACTGGAACAAATAATCTAGGATACATGGATTTATTGCGCATGCTGACTGGTCCAGTTTATTCGCAGAGCACCGCTCTTACTCACAAGCAGTCTTACTATTCTATTGCCAAATGTGTAGCTGCCCTTACTCGAGCATGCCCTAAAGAAGGACCAGCCGTAGTAGGTCAATTTATTCAAGATGTCAAGAACTCAAGGTCTACAGATTCCATTCGTCTCTTAGCTCTGCTTTCTCTCGGAGAAGTTGGGCATCATATTGACTTAAGTGGGCAGCTGGAACTAAAATCTGTAATATTAGAAGCCTTCTCATCTCCTAGCGAAGAAGTTAAATCAGCCGCCTCCTATGCTTTAGGCAGCATTAGTGTGGGCAACCTTCCTGAGTATCTGCCGTTTGTCTTACAAGAAATAACCAGTCAGCCCAAAAGGCAGTATCTTCTGCTTCATTCCTTGAAGGAAATTATTAGCTCTGCGTCAGTAGTGGGCCTTAAACCATATGTTGAAAACATCTGGGCCTTACTGCTAAAGCACTGTGAGTGTGCAGAAGAAGGAACCAGAAATGTTGTTGCTGAATGTCTAGGGAAACTCACTCTAATTGATCCAGAAACTCTCCTTCCACGGCTTAAGGGGTATTTGATATCAGGTGGGTACCTAGATTTTCTTAAAATTTTATTGGCAGTTGGTAACCTTGAAAGATGCCTAATGCAGAAGTAAACCCTTTTTGTATTGTGTTACACGTAGAACCTCTTGCCTTATGTTGCAGTGTGGAGCCATATTCAAATGACATTTCGTTGTTTAAAAAGGATAGAGTAATAGGATCATGGTTAAATCTGTTGTAGTTCCTTTTTTATATTTTAATGTTACTCTTTTATCTTGAAATGTGGAAAAGACAGATGTTTCTTGAATTAATATGTACAAAGGAGCCTTGGTAGTACTAATTTTAATACTAAAATTAGTGAACATAGTTCAAATGAAGGATCCTAGAAGACTTGGTTTCGGATTTACTAGTGTCAGTTCCTTTAGACCCAAGTAGTGGGTAAGAAAAGCGAGTGCTTTCTTTAGAAACTGCTTTTTTAAGAAAACATTTGAAGATCTTATAAGCTATTTATGGGTTTAAACACTTCCCTTTTGTGAGGGCTAGAATCTCCACTGTTGCTCTCCTAGGTCTTTTCCTTCCCAGAAGACATTATTTCTTTTGAAATCTAATGGGATTATATTTTATGGGTAAATTTTACCTCCCCTGAGAGCAGTGAGTACCTCCCCTCTTTTTTTTTTTTTAAATTAAGATTTTATTTATTTATTTGACAGAAGGATCATAAGTGGAGAGGCAGGCAGAGGGGTAGGGGGAGGCAGGCTCCCTGCTGAGCAGAGAGCCCAATGTGGGCTGGATCCCAGGACCCTGAGATCATGATCTGAGCTGAAGGCAGAGGCCTAACCCACTGAGCCACCAAGGTGCCCCACTACCTCCCCTCTTGACCAGAGAGAATTTTAAGAAATTGAGGACACTGATGTCAGTTGAAGTGGTTTGAAAATGCTGAAGCTGCCCATGGGTTTTAGTGAATTTACATACCAGTAGACTTAAAATTTCTTTTTAATTAGGCTCATCATATGCCCGAAGCTCAGTGGTTACAGCTGTGAAGTTTACTATTTCTGATCATCCACAACCTATTGACCCCCTGTTAAAGAATTGCATAGGTAAGTGGAAACAAAGATAAACATACTGAATAATTTCAGTAACTAAATATTACCAGGGAACTAAAATAAAATGCGTGTAAGGGTCTCATAATTGATAATGTGTGATCTTACATACTTATATTCTATCAGCCTTTAGTTTGAAATTATCAGATAATTTTGCAAATAAATACACTGGGATGTCTTCAGAGTGAACTACATTTTTGGTCTATCTGACCAGATATAAATTAATCTTGATTTGACCTGTTAGAGCCCCAATTTTCTGTTCTTACCTATAAGCCCTCCAGTTCCCAAGGAGATCTGTGGAGACAGTGTAAGAATAAAAAACAGTAGAATTAAGAGAGAGCCAGGAGAGACTAGGGCTGTCTCTATATCTACAAAGACAAGAATTAGCTTTTAGGGTTATTTTTAATGATTTTATAACTTCATTGTGTTGTTTTCATAATCCGTTTTCCTAGAGTGGGTAATACTAAAAACCTTCAGAGCTTAGTTTGGTGTATGCCTGAAGACAGAGCAACGGAGATACCAGCAAAGTGGATAGGCAGATATGGCAAAGAAGCTTTGTAGTTTTGGGCCATTCTGCAGTAGGCCAGAAAGGGGGAAAAAAAAAAATTAAAGAATTACAGAAATGGATTATTAGTTCAGAATAAGAGGCACATAGGAATAAATGGATGCTATTGTTGGGGCCTAGAAATAAAGAAGGTCTGAATTGGAAGAATTTTGCCTTCTGTTCTCCTCACCTGTTTTTGGTTTGACTTATTTGAGAATAAGGCAGCATGAGTAGGAGGGGCAGAAGGAGAATGAATCCCAAGCAGACTCTCCCCTGAGTGTATAGCCCAACAGAGGGCTTGACCCCACAACCCTGAGATCACAACCCAAGCCAAAACTAAGCATCAGCGTCTCAACTAACTCTGCCACCCAGGCGCCCCACTTTGATGTATTTGACATTTTTTGTGTTGTACAAGATAGGACAAAGGTGAAGAGTCCTGTGCCACATCTCTAGAGACATATATCTAGGTTGACAGGTCAACCTTTTGTGTCATTGATACAGTTATTTGATCAAATGATGGTCATTCTCATTGAATTTTGATCTTGTTTTGTATTATTTGTGACTACATGAACATCAGAATCACCTAGGAGGCTTTTTAAACATTGTAATAACTAAACCAAAGAGTTGGGGATAGGTAAATGCATATCACCATTTGTCCGTAATAATAGCAATATTATAGATGCTTTTCTGAAAGCAAATACTTTATTCTAATTTACTATCTTAGTAATTGTAAGCAAACGGGGGTAAAAAGGTTTAGTCTGGTATATTTAAATTCTTTTTTTTTTTAATTATTTATTTATTTGACAGAGATTACAAGTAGGCTGAGAGGCAGGCAGAGAGAGAGGAAAGGAAGCAGGCTCCCTGCTGAGCAGAGAGCCCGATGTGGGGCTCAATCCCAGGACCCTGGGATCATGACCTGAGCCGAAGGCAGAGGCTTTAACCCACTGAGCCACCCAGGTGCCCCTAAATTCTTTTTGATTACAAGGTATCTCCTGAACTCTTCTTGTAATCAGAAGTTTCTTGGGTGGTCAGCCTTGAATTTACTAGTATATGGTGTCTAAAGTATTACTTCCTTCCCATTCATTCAAATTGCTGTTGTGATATATTCAAGTCTTGGCACCTCTTTTCTTCCTGTGTATTCCAAAGGATTGCTGACTGTAGGGTTGAGATTCTATAATGATGAACAGTAACTCCATGTGAATACTAGGGATGTCCCAAACACTATTTGGCAGTATACATGCAATTTAGTCTACTCATGTAGCCTAATAGGTTTATAATTCTCATTTTGTAAACTGAGAAACTGAGGCTCTTGCCTAAAATAACTTGCCAAAAGTCATAGTTGGCAAGTGAAGCAGTTTGGATTACCATCTGTGTGACTCCAAACATCTTTGCACTATAATTTGTTCCCATTTGCAAGACCAACCAGACTTATTTCTGCTTTTTTTTTTGTCCTATGTTTGGTTTCAGTTTTCTCCTTTAGTATTTTTAACCCTCTTACCAATTCATATATTCTTCATTAATGATAGAAATAAAGAAATTTTGAAGGCACATTTCTCTTTATCATCTGATAAATTGTATATTTGTTAATTGTATTCAGTTTATCAAGCAATGGATCTAGTCCTAATCCTGTTTATCTTCTTTTGAACTCAATGTTTTTAATTCAATTTTTGTTGCTTTCATTGAAAATACTAATTTTCAACTCTGAGTAGAATCATTTATTTTTGTAGCTGCTGGCTCCATCACTTCTCTGTGTAGCCTACCTTTTTTCATATATCTGTAGAAGTAATTAGGGAACTTTTTGGGCTCTCTCATGCCATATCCTCTTCATTATAGAATGCTGCTATGAGTCGATTATCATATCTGAATGTAATTGTGTTTAATTGGTAGCTTGCCTGTTGCCAAAAGCAGCTCTGTGGTTCACTTAATCTAATCTGTCTTCATGTTCTTATTCTGTTGTCACGTTCTTCTGTAACCTGCATTGAAGAAATGACAATAATATAAACAATAAATTTATCCATTTAGAAAAAACATACCTATTTTGTTTTAAGGCTATAGTGACTGTATATTGCTTCTTAATGATTTTCAGGTGATTTCCTAAAAACGTTGGAAGACCCAGATTTGAATGTAAGAAGAGTAGCCTTGGTCACATTCAACTCAGCAGCACATAATAAACCATCATTAATAAGGGATCTTCTAGATACTGTTCTGCCACATCTTTATAATGAAACAAAAGTTAGAAAGGAGCTTATAAGAGAGGTAAGTTAGTTACATTACTGTTTATCTAAGCTTGTCTTTTACTTTTAAGTATATCCACACATTCTTTTTTGTTTCAACAGGTAGAAATGGGTCCATTTAAGCATACAGTTGATGACGGACTGGATATTAGAAAGGCAGCCTTTGAGTGTATGTACACACTTTTAGACAGTTGTCTTGATAGACTAGATATCTTTGAATTTCTAAATCATGTTGAAGATGGTTTGAAGGACCATTATGATATTAAGGTAAGATGTTTGTGGCTATTTACGAATTGTTTTAGAAGAAGACTTCTATAGTGCCTTTCTGTAGTGGAGAAGAAGGCTGTATGACTTTCACCCTTGTAATTTACTTGTTTATTTAAAAAAAATAGGTTTGCTTGTCATGAATTTAGTAAGTTTGTTGTAAACTATAGTATGCAAAAGTAATAGTGATGCAGTATAACACCAGTTGCCGTACAGGTAAAATCCAGAAACCTCATTGGAGGAGCAAGTCAAGCCTAAGAACTATTCTGTGCCAGCTTGCTTTAGCACATAGTTTCTAGAGCTTTCCCTTACTCAAGAGTCCAGACAACTTTTGCTCTTTAGAGTATAATGTGTGATATTTTTGTCCTGTCTTAATATTGGATAGTAGTCTTCCATCATGGTCTTAGCTAATTCTTTGGACTGTCCTTAGCGGTGTTCTACATGAAGCATTTTATTTACTGTAATGAAGGATTTTTATTTTCCAATAGGATACTGTAGGTTTAGTATCAAGAGTTTCGTTAAAGGATAACACAACAGGACGGTTTGCATATACGGAGAGCAGTCTGTAGAAGCAACTAGAGAGAAATCACTGCTGCTTAGGTTTAGAGCATAAACTTTACTTATAACTGTTTTATTTGCTCATGTTAGTTTTAAATATGAACTATAAAAGGGTGATTTTAAAAATAAGTGCATTGTGTCTGTTCTGCTCTTTGGGGCCTGCCTTTAGTCAAGCAGGGCAAAGGGGGCAGCTGAACAGTAATAGCATACTATCAGAATCCCAACTGCTGTGTTTCCATATGTGCTAGTAACCGGATCCTCTAAGAATTCAATGAACAAATCTCCAAAAGAAGAAATAGAATCCTCCTGTTTCATTCTACAGCTTCTAGCTAAAGAGAAAAAAGACGATGGGTTACTGGATTGATCTGAATAACCAGTCTTTTTTGATATCTGCTAAGACACGAGAAACTTACTTTGAAGCTTTTCTCCTAGTTCAGTTATTTTCTTGTTCAATGATTTTCCATTCTGGTACACACGAGCTTTTTAAAAAATAACATATAAATGGCCATATCCTGACAGGGAAAAATCTCTGGGAAAGGGACTGAGGACTTGGGCATATTTCTAAAGCTCTGCGGTGCTGATGTGCAGCCAAGCTTGAGAAGCACTGTTAGTTCTGTACTCTAGGACCGCATTATAGGTTAGATCTGGCTAATGCTTTTAACTAATTTAATACTCCTCAGATAAGGTTTGAAACTTTAGTCATTCCCCTTAAAAACTTTGTCAAAATTTGGAATATTGTCTTTAGAAAACAGTGCAAAGTCTAAACTTTTTGTTTTAATTTCTAATAGATGCTAACATTTTTAATGTTGGTGAGACTCTCCACTCTTTGTCCAAGTGCAGTACTGCAGAGGTTGGACCGACTTGTTGAGCCATTACGTGCCACATGTACAACTAAGGTAATCATTGATTGACATCACCTGAGGCCGGACTGGGCATATTCAAAATTCCTAGTTGATTCTGTACTCTGGTTTTCCAAATTTAACCATGCTCACCCCCTATGTAGCAGTTGGTTTTAAAAGTTAACCTATTGGATGTTTGAGAAAAGTTAGCACTGTTAAATGCTGTTTCTAAAAGCTTTTATGTAATGTTATAACAATATGATACATAAGTTGGAATACTGATACAGGATAAAGAGTGATAGGACCATGAAAGAGGAAATGGTGAATTCTGGTGGAGGTGGGTAGGGGTGGGAGTCATAGAAAGCTTCCTATGAGAATGATGATATTTAAAGTGGACCTTGAAAATGAAAGTCAGAATTTTTAGATTCAGAAGGTAAAACAGGACTTTTCATACAAAAATAATTGTATATATTAAGACACAAGATTGGTCAATACATGATGAAGAATAATGAATAAACAGGGTAGCCAGAGAAGTTTTCTTGGAGGCCAGAGTAGGACTTGATAAGCAGGTAAGGCTCTGCGTCCCCCTCTTTGTTTCAACCCAGTGGCTCTGGATTTTTTTAAGGGGCTTGCTTATAAAATGTTCCCTCAAAGGAAGAACAGCTACTGCTAAAACGTTTAAAAAAATAACTGTGTTTAGAGTAGAAGAATGTACCTTTTGGACCTATAAAACAATGGTTTTGCTTTATTTACCAGAAATTTCTACGTGCTTAAATTTTGTTCGAGTTGTCTTTATAACACACAGTATAAATTTACTCAATGTTACAGGTGAAGGCAAACTCAGTAAAGCAGGAGTTTGAAAAGCAAGATGAACTAAAGCGATCTGCCATGAGAGCAGTAGCAGCACTGCTAACCATTCCAGAAGCAGAGAAGAGTCCACTGATGAGTGAATTCCAGTCACAGATCAGTTCTAACCCTGAGCTGGCGGCCATCTTTGAAAGTATCCAAAAAGATTCATCATCTACTAACTTGGAATCAATGGACACTAGTTAGATGTTTGTTCAACATGGGGACCATTATATTGACCATATGATGCACTGAATTGACAGGTTAATCATAAGACATGGAAAGAAGTATTTAAGGCTTCAAAATGTTCCATTTTTTTTTTTTTCCCCCTTCATGGAGACAGTTTGGCTCTCTTCCATTGTTGTTTTTGTAGCATTTCTTTCAGAGACATGTATTTCCATAATCTCCAGAGGTTGTAAAACCACTAATGTCTTAGTGGTTAGGGCAACATTTAAAAAATGGGAACTAAAAGTTAGGATTTATGGAGATAGGGTCCAGGATCTATTTGCCCTGTAATGTTTAGGATTAAAATGTTAAAATTTTGTGACCATGAATTTCTTTCTTTTATAAATTTTCTTTTAAAAATCAAAAATTCTACAAGATGAAAACCATGTTTTTCTTGTATAACTTTTTGTTTCAGCAACATAAATTGATTTTTAGCTGGCAGACAAGAATATCTGTGTAAGATTTGTTACATTTCAAAGGGTTTGGCAGTTTAAAAAAGAAAATAAGGTTTATCATTTTTTAAGTATGGGGATTAATGATATCCCTCTTGCGCACACTAATTTTGCATGAACAAGTTTACAAATATGTATTGTCTGTAAAGCAGCATGTGCAGATTATTCATAATATCAAAAGTTAAAATAAGTATTATTGTATTAGTGCAATTTTCAGATATTTATTTTTGCACAGAAAACATATCTGGAGAGAGAGAGAGAGAGAGGGGAGTAAATTTTTGAAACTTTGGTTTTCTTAATGCCAGTGTGAATTTGCAGATGTTTTCAGCAAATCAAGTCACAATAACAATTTGCCACTTTTTCTATTATAAATTTTCTTACACATTTAAAATTTGAATATTTAAGTACTCAGTTTTTCTCAGTTACCCATTTGTGTGTGTGTGTTTCCACTTAGAAATTTTTAAAACCAGACGTTTTCTTTCATTCCCTTTGGATCCCTGCATTCCTTATCAAAGAATACAAATACTGTGTATGCTTTTGAATTTTATTTTTAGGAAAATTCTGAAGCTGACTATCACAGGTTTGTTAGCTAATACAGTATTTCTTTTAGTTGAGTTAGATCCCCCCCCTTCTTGTAGAGCTAATTTACATATTGTATTTGGTAAGTGTTGACTACTTTTCCTGATTAAGGGGTCTGTGCTGGGGGGAAAAAAAGCTTTGCAGTACCTTATATTATTGTAGTTAAAATTTTATTTAACGTATCCTTCAGTGAGCTCATTTCACACTGTAGCCTCTTCTTCAAATTTGTGGTGCTCCTGTAACAGTAAGAACTAATTTCTGAAATAAAAGACATCTCCTAATGCTGTGCAAACATAGTTTACATGTATTGAAGGAGGCAGTTGTTAAATTGACCAATTTAAGCAATCAGATATTTGAAAACTGCACCCTTTATTTTTGAAACTGTGAATTAGAAATACTTCTCCTGCTGTGTAACTTCCTGCTTTGACATCCAAATATGCAGTGATTTTAATTGATAACATACTGTGGTTATTAGATTAACAGCTTGATTTCAAATGTTCAGATGATAATGCATAAGACATCATTACCAGTAAGGATTTTAGTACATTAACATAGAACGTTACATGAAGTTGGTGCCATTTCAAAAATGTGGCAGGTGATACTCTTATACCATAATTTGCATAAAACTGTAATAGAAATTTATTTTGAGATGTCAGTATATTATGTACTATGCATTACCGTGGTATAGATGTTGTGGATATATTTAAGTATTTGGTTACATGGTTTCACAATAAATTACAATACTGCAGGCTCTAGGACCATATAGGAGACTGACATGCATATGTTGTGTGAATGTCTTAGTTAATTGTCTAAAGTTAAATCCAGATACTTTTCATGTATTGGATTTTTTTTTCTTTTTTAACTTCCAAGATGGTGTGGTTTTTAAGTCTTGGAAGCTGGCAAATTTTTCTAACATAGCTGAAAATATCTTTTAATACTAGTAGTAGATAACGGTTTTAGTGGTATTTGAGAGAGATACATATATTTACATATATATATTTGACAAAATTAGAATTTGACAAAATTAAGAAAACTCATTTTAAATGCTGAGTCCTGCTGATTAACACTGTACTTGTAGTGGTCATGTTAATACTAGAATGGAGGTTGCAAGGTACGGGAGTCTAGTCATAGTCTGCCACTCACACTACTCTTACCTGTCATACACGACCTGTCATACACGTATTATTAGGACCTTCTGATTAGGTTTCCATATGCAGGTCTCTCAGGAGAGCTACAGGTTACTAGAAAAACAGCTGTTTGCTGATTTTTCTTGAGGACACATCAACCATTTAGTTTTTTTTTTTTTTTTTTGCTTTACGGTTAGTATGGGGTGTTGCACTTTGAGGTTATTTTATGAAACTAAAGTGGAAAGGAAATTTAGTATGACAAGGCCTAACCTAAAAATTTGCATATAAAATCAATAGCACTGAATGATAATTTTTAAGAAGGTGGTCAGGTCTTCACATTAGTGATGGCTGAAGCTTCCTAACCACTGGGAATTAGGATGTTTAAAAGGAGTATGATGACTTCATGAAATGTTTGAATATTTACCAAAAAAATTTATGTATCCATAATTAACCAAATCAGTTTTTTTTCCCTAACACTTTTGTTGGGTAAATGGTAAATAATAGGGGCATATCTAATTTAACCAGTTCTAAGGGATGTTTTGGTATCTTTATATATAGATCACTCTTGGACAGCAAATACATAGGCATGATCGAAGTTCATAAATACTCAAAATCCCTGGTCATTGAAACATTCAGTTAATAAGCCATGTAAACTTTAGCCACATGACAAAGTAGATGGCAATACTTAACAATTAAAAATTTGAAGTAACATTTTCTGCCCACATTAAATTTTACCAAAAATTATAAATCAATTAACTGTCATTCTCCGCATATATTATGCTTAGTAAATGTTTTGATATTAAGGACCTCAAAGTTTTCCGCAGATTTTGGGTTCTAGCTTCTTAAATTGAATTTTACTTTTCAAATTACTGCCATCCCAGAGTCCTATCTTTTTAAAATCTTATTTAATCCTTTGTAGAATGGAAAAATAGATAATACAGGACCACTTCATATTACTGTTTGGAAAAAGGATATTCTGGTTTTAACTGACTTTTCCAGTTAATTAAATACAAAACTCCTTTGATACCTTTGCTTGGTTGTTAAAATGGAACACAGAAGTATTTGGTGGCAGGCTTCCAAAAGCTTACAAAATAAGGCCATTTTCTTAAGAGATACAGAGGGAAATTGCTGCTTAGTACTAGAAAAATAAGATTTCGTGAACACCTACTGCAAGTTAGAGCAAGACTTATCAGCAACGTGTTTGTGCACTTACAAATTGTGATTTTTCATTGGACATCATAAAAGCCAACTTCAATTAAAACTACTGGAGGGAATATTGCAGGTAATTTTACTTTGTTAGATCCTGTGATGTCAGTGTGTGTCAGGTTTCAGAATAAAATTTTTAGTAGAGGGAGTCTTAATACCATGACCTCTTCATACATTTTAATTCTGATCTTAAATGATTATCGGTGGTGATTTTGGCAAATTTGTTTTACTTAGGTCTTGAAGGAAAAGCTTACATTCTGTGAACTAAAAATTTTCCAGATTAGGAAAATTAGTATATATTTAGCCATTACCAGTAACTAATGGTTGATGCACATTGATTTTATTCTAGAATGCTCTCTCTCTCCCCCACACACATAAATCTAAAGAATTGTACTCCAGAACTGGGTATAGTACCATAATAACCTCCTGTTTTAATAGCCTGTACTAACCCTATTACTCTATTATATACTCTGTACTTACCCTATTAATAGCTGTTTTACTTGTTCTGCAGATACTCCGCTTTTAGTATAAACCCCACTGCTTCCTTAACTACCTTAGTATGATGGTAGTAGCTTACTCTACTCCTAGTGTCATATTTTTAGAAGACTTGGAAATGTGTATTTTGTTTGGAATCATTATGATCTATGAACTAAGGCTTTCCTAAAACGGCTGGGGGGAAAAAAAAAACCTCCTGGATCCTTATTCTAAATATAAAATCCATTCCAGGATTTAGTTCAGAGGAAAAATACACGTTCTTCTTAGATCAGGATTACTTACCCTTGGCACAGTTGATATTTTGGACTAGATAATTCTGTGTCATGGAGGGCCGTCCTGTGCATTGTTAAGATACTCCCTTACCTCTACCCACTTAGATACCAGTAGTATTTTAACAACCAGAATTGTCCAGATACTGCCAAAATGTCCCCCACAGTAGACATTGGTGGGGAGGGGATTAATGCAAAATAGCCCCCAATTAAAAACCCCTGTTTCAGAGATTTCTTTATTACAGCTATAACCAACAGAACGGTACACATACAACCTCGGACCTTGTGTCCATCTTCTTAAATACTACTTCTAATGAACCTATTTTCTTCCTAGTCATTAAATATAATTCATGATTTAGTGGAAATAGGTTTCTGCTCTATAACCTCTGATGGAATGGATAGTCTTAAATCCCTTGAGGCACTGTTTTTCTCTGGCTACCAAATGCTTTGTGCACATTTGGCAGGAGTATAAAGGGGCTGCTACTGGACAGGGGAGGATGAAGCAGTTGGGAGTGCTTTGGGATCAACAAGGTATGTAAAATGAAGTTGAGGTACAGTAGCCTTGTGTAACTAGTATATTTTCCTTGAGTTCTTCATGCATAGATTTCCAAAATTGTTCATACTCTATTCAAGAGAGTAGTGTATTAATTTACTTGATTGAACTAATGACTTGTTTGCAGTACAGGTAGTTTCCTGTTTAGTTATAATATGTGAAGTCCTGCCAAACAGTGGTCTTTTGAATTTTGAAAGCCCCTCTTAAACTCAAGCTGACTATAGCAGATTTTTGCTACTTTTCTAGGAGTAGTTGATGTAAGGAGACAAAATGCTCCTGTATGAATCTTGATGCCTACACATAGGATTTTAAAGACTGATGATGGTAGACATGTGGCAAAAGAATGACCACAAAACTGCCTCTTCTTTAAAAGCAGACAGCGGAGCAAGTAGTCTGTGAAGCTTCCTAACCGTCTCAGTACCACTTGGGAGAACTGGCATGGACCCAAAAAAGGTTTCTTTTCCTTTTACATGATGTTACTGAAATACTAATGAGCTTGATTGGCCCAATGTGTAAGTCCAGAATAACCTTGAAAATCATTCAGCCCTTAAAATTTACATTTAAAGGATTCCAAAATTCGTTCCAGCATTGATCACCCTCTAAAGTACAGTCAAGCCTTATCCCATGACCACATGCTGCCGCCGAGATAAGAAGCCCCACTGCCGATCTGTGTACCGCCATAGCCCCTGCTCACGTGTTCTGCAGTCAAGATTGATCTATTCCCATGCTTCCATTTCCGTAAATGAATCCAAGGCAGAGCTAATTACCTTTTCCTCTCCTTCCACTTGGTACCTCCTACTCTTTACTACCATGTGCTTGATACTGGGGAATACACACTGCATAATTACTATGAAATAGTGTTGTAATAGGGAAAACAACACTACGATTTGTACCAGAGAGGTTCTTTGTCTGAGGTTCAGAACAAACCTAAGCCAAAGAAGCTGTGTACCCCAGTGGGAACAGAGCTGGTGAAAGCATAGAGACACGGGGTCATGGTGTATTTAGAATTGAGTGGCTGTGGTTTGCAAGAGAGTGAGGCGAGGGAAGGCAGATTATATGGGGCTTTGTAAACAGTTTGGCTTGCCAGCATCCCTGAAATTAAATCCATAGAAAGACTTAAAAGCTAGGAAGTCATGTAATCAGATTTGTATTTTTGAAAAATTAGCTGTAGTTTAGATAATGGATTAAATGGGAGGTAAGACATTTGTTGATGAATTGGGACAGTAATGCAGTGAGGGAAGGTTATGCTGAAGAAGTAGTTTGGAGAGAAGTCAGGATGTTTGAAATAAAAACTGACAGGAGAGCCATTGCTTGGGTATTGGAAGTATATACAATTAATACTGCAATATGAACATTCTCCAAAATAGAGGTTTTATGACAACTTATTCTACATGTCTGTTGTGGGTAGCATGGGGGGTTGGCTTCCCATCTCATTGGGACCCAGTAGGACCAGGATACCACTTGGAATGCTGTCCCTTGCTGTGGCAGAGGGAAAGTGAATGCATCTATCTCTCCTATTGCCTGTGCCTGACAATGACCTCACTTCTGATCACATTTTGGTGGATATGAAGTCATGGCCATATATAACGACTGAACACTCAAAAGGCATTTGTGAAAACAGTAAGCTCAGCTGAGTTCTGATTTTTTTTTTTTTTATTTTAAAGAGGCAAGGGAGGTAGAGGAGGTATGTCACTTTGCATGTCCACCACAACTCAAAATTAGATGTTCCTACTTCTATTACAAGTTGTTTTCAAATACCCTGCCACCAAGTTTCTCTCAAGCTTTTCCTTCACTTGGTGTCAGTGACTGACTCCTCTCTTCTTTATCATCCATAGCTACCCTCAACCTTTCCAGAATAACAAATTTTGTTGGCCACTTCTAACACTGGCACTCAGGCCAATGAGAAATAGATACCTACCTCAAGTGCCTCCCCCCACCTCCGCCATTTCAAGTGTATTTTTCCAAACAACTACACTCTAAAAGTGCCAGCTATGTTGGTGTCTTCTAACATATGTACATAGATACTTTTATTCCATATTCCAACCCTGATTCTTTCTTTTATCAACTTCTTTATTTCAACCAACCACTCTGAGGGCTACGGCTTAGATACTTG